ATACTTACATTACGATTCATAACAGTAGCAAAATTATACGTAGTTATGAAAATAGCAACAAAAATAATTTTATGGTTGGGGGTCACCACAATATGAGGAACTGTATTAAGGGGTCACGGCATTAGGAACGTTGAGAAGAACCACTGCCTTAACCACTCAAAACAGCTTTGGTGGATGAAGAAATGTTTCACTGGTTACTCCACAGATAGGTTTCCGATCAATTATAGTCTGTGTTTGATTTGAATCACTGTGAGTCGTCTGTCCTTATTGGTCTAGTCTCCACCCCACTTTTTCCATGTTTGCCAAATCCCTAATAAACCAGTGTGTCTGCTTGGCTCCACTTCATGGGAGGGAATGCTTAGGAGTGATCATTTGCCTGTTCATTTCCTTGTTCCAGAGGTCAACCAGTATCACCTGCCAGGGCAACAGGAGGCTCCCCAAGAACATTAGGAAACCTCACCAAGATAGCAATCTGTCCATGACAGACTCTACAGAAACTTCCTCTGAAGTTGATAGGAACTTTAGGAGAGTCTGCCCCAGAAGGAGAGACCCTGGGACCCCACCAAAGAGGGATCGCTACTTTGGAGAGCTAAGAGAAGCCTGATTTTGAGCAATTTTATTTTCTTAAAAAATCCGAAAGAAATCTCACCAAAGTTGAAGAAGCGGCACCAAGGTGTTTTTATTAGCGATTCAGTTGAAAAGGATACAATGTAGCAATCATTCGCCTACAGAGCATGTGATTACAGAGATCAGAGGCATTTTTATAGGAAATACAGGCTTAGAAGTTTCAAAATTCCTGCTTCCCGCCCTCCTTCCAGTTTGAAGGTGATTGGCTGACGTGATAACAGCTGGGAGGAGGCACGGCCGCCCTCCCCGCGTCTGAGCCAATCACAGAGCTTCTCCACTGTGCAGGAGCCTATCAGGAAACTCCCACTGCCTCGGCACTCTAGTGAATCAGGAGGAAGGAAGGCGGGATGAAAAGAAACAATGCTTTTATGAGTGGATTATAGGATTTTCATGCCTAGGGGCCCTTGAGTCCAAAAACTGGCCTTCTAAAGAAGCCAAGTCTATTGTCTTTTGATGGGTCTGCGATAAGTAATGATTACTTAATCCGAGTTTTCCTGTCGCCATCAGATATGACACAATGAAGAGGCTGGGATGGATGTCCATTGTGGAGAGTTTTGAATGCAAGAAAGTTTCGGGGGAAAGAGACTTTTCGAGGGTCTTTTGCCCCCAGTGTGAAGTGATCAAAAGTTTGCCAAGCGAAACCCTTTGTCTGACGGCCCGACTCCGAAATCAAATAAAGGTTTTCAGTTCTATTTTTCCATGCACAAATATCAAGATGAGAGTTCTTTTGTGATTGCTGATTGCCTTTTCAGAACAGCTGGCAGCTTCCTGGTTGATTTCCCCCCTTGATTTCCCCTCAGGCCCGATGGGCAGCGTGAGCCTGTCAAGGGAGGAGCAGCACCGTGCAGCCTACTCTCACGTAAAGCACCTCGCAAGGTGCTTTACGCAAGAGTAGGCTGCATGGGGCAGACGCCCTTGGCTGGCTCACGCTGCCCGTCAGGCCTGACTGATAGCGTGAGCCAACCAAGGGAGGGGCACTGTGTGTGGGGGGTGCTCCTCCTCCACGGGCCGGATAAGTGCCCTCGGCGGGTCAGAAGTGGCCCGCGGGCCTTAGTTTGAGGACCCCTGAGCTATGCCATGGCCTCACATCCCATTGTAACCATCAGTGTCCATGCTTTGCATTGTCACTGCATTTCAACCAAACCTATTTGGCCGGCTTTCTGCTTTAAATGGACCAAAGTGTTGGCTCTCAGAATAATACCGTGTCTTCTTTGGATCCGCCTTGAGTCTCTTTGGGAAGAGTTATTTCAATTGTTTACTATCAAATATTAGTAACGGTTATTATTTACTTTCCAAACTCAGCCAGATGATTAGGATTATTCCTGCAGTCATTTATGCCTATTTCTGCAGGCATTATTACGATGATTTCTACAGGCATTTTTATAAATATTTCTGTGACTATTTCTACAAACACTTTAGGGCAGGGGTCCTCAAACTTTTTAAACCGAGGGCCACCTCACAGACCCTCAAACTGTCGGAGGGCCGGATTATAATTTGAAAAAGAAAATGAGTGAATTCCTATGCACACTGCATATATCTTATTTGTAGTGCAAAAAAATTAAAAGCAACACAATAATTAAAATGAAGAACAATCTTAACAAATATAAATTAGTATTTCAATGGGAAGTGTGAGCCTGCTTTTGGCTGATGAGATAGGGTTGTTGTTGTTGTGGTGTGCTTTTGAGTCCTTATAGACTTAGGTTGACCCTGAGTGAGGGCCGGCTAAATGACCTTGGAGGTCACCTTGGAGGTTAGTTTGAGGACCCCTGCTTTAGGGAATACTTTTATATTGCTGCATTTGGTGGGGACGAGGGACAGGACCTTCTCTGTGGTTGCCCCCCAACTTTGGAACATTCTCCCCAAAGACATCAGACTAGCACCCATGTTGGCAGTCTTTAGGAAGAGTTTGAATACCTGGCTATTCCAATGTGCCTTTCCAGAATAGGAAAACCCCAGCACTATGTCCCAGAAGCACTTTACTAGAGTTTAAGACTCTCTGCACATTGCACTTGCCCAGAAAATCCAACATACCACCTGTCACACCCAGCACTTTTTAATCTGTACCCATCACTTGGCCCGGCCCTGGTTTTTACTGTGTTATGGTGTAATGTTTTGTTGTTATTGCTTTATGTTTTTGATTTGCTTTGAATTGTATTGTTGTTATGCTGTTGTTGTGTTGAGGCCTTGGCCTGTGTAAGCTGCATCGAGTCCTTCGGGAGATGCTAGCGGGGTACAAATAAAGTTTAATAATAATAATAACAACAAATAAACACACCCTTATTATTATTATTATTATTATTATTATTATTATTATTATTATGTAGCTTTCCATTGTTACCAATGTTCCTGGAACCGGCTTACAGTAAAGCCAGATAAAATGCAAGATAAATACTCAATGTATACAACCGTGAGAATTAAATATTAATGCTGTTCAAAAGTAAAAATCCCTGAAGGATGGATAGGAAAGCTCTTCTGGGCTTGATCCCGAGGGAGACAGGCCTGGGATTTGAAGGGAAGACCCACGACCAGAAGGGTTTCTATGGGGAAAAGGGTGCCGCCTTTGAATGGAAAGAATTATTGGGCTGTTGTAGGTTTTTCCGGGCTATCTGGCCATATTCTAGAGGCATTTTCTCCTGATGTTTCGCCTGCATCTATGGCAAGCATCCTCAGAGGTAGTGAGAAAGAATTATTATTATTATTATTAAACCCCTGAGAGTACCTCGGAGGACAGAACAACCTTAAAACGCCTTTAAAAAAAAATTTAAGGATTAGACCGGCAAAGGAGGAATAAAACCGGGATGTGGGGTTCTCTATTATTTATATATGTGTGTGTGTGCCTGTGTATGTATTTTATTCAAATCTAAAACATTTATTTATTTATGACATTTGTATGCTGCTCTTCTCACCCCAAAGGGGACTCAGAGCAGCTTACAAGTAAAAAGTAAATACAATATATTATATTATTATCATCATGGCACATTATTATATATTACATTGTACTATAACATTATACTGTAATATTATTAGTAATATTACACTTAATATAAAATATATAATTATAATATATTATTATTAGTATATTACATTATAATATTATCAATATTATATGTATATACAATATATTATATTATAAGCACAGTGCAGGAGACAAGATGGAACTGCCTTCCTGGCCCTTCTCTTCACTCTGATCCCAAAGCAGCGGTTGGTATGGTATAGTATAGGCCACATGACTTTGGAGGTGTCTACGGACAACGCCGGCTCTTTGGCTTGGAAATGGAGATGAGCACCAGTCAGACACAACTGGACTTAATGTCAAGGGGAAAACCTTTAACTTATATCTGTTATATAGATATAATATATATTATATTAGTAAAATATATATACATACACACCTATCTGACCGAAGTGGAACGGGCGGTGGTGGGCCTGGGTGCCACTGCCCTGGGCCTTCCTTCTGGGAGGAAGAGGCACCACTCGGCCGGGGGGGTGCGCCCCCTCCACCAGCTTGGCTGTGGCTGTCAATCATTGATGGAGCTGAGCGCTCTTTAATTGTAGGTGAACTATAAATCCCAGCAACTACAACTTCCAAATGCTAAGATCTATTTTCCCCAGTCTCCACCAGTGTTCACATTTGGGCATGTTCAGTATTCATGCCAAGTTTCGTCCAGATCCATCGTTGGTGGAGTTCAGAACACTTTGATTGTAGGTGAACTATAAATCCCAGTGACTACACCCCTCAAATGCTAAGATCTATTTTCCCCAAACTCCACTGGTGTTCACATTTGGGCATATTGAGTATTCGTGCCAAGTTTCGTCTAGATCCATGGTTGAGCTATAAATCCCAGCAACTACAACTCCCAAATGACAAAATCGTCCCCCCACCCCACCCAGTATTGAAATTGGGGCATATCGGGTATTTGTGCCAAATTTGGTCCAGTGAATGAAAAGACATCCTGCAGATCAGCATATTTACATGACGATTCATAACTTGCAAAATTATAGTTATGAAGTAGCAACGAAAATGATGTTATGGTTGGGGGTCACCACAATATATGGGGAACTGTATTAAGGGGTCATGGCATTAGGAAAGTTAAGAAACACTGGCCTAGTGCATCAATGTGAGCAAAAATTAATATAAGACACTGTCTTATTTTTGGGGAAGCAGTGTATATGTGTATATAGTATTTTTACCTCTGAATTTCTACGTCATCCAGTGGATGTTGACTATGGCACACTGGATTACTTAGATTCCGAAAGGGACCTTTTAATTAAACCCCAAAAGTCCAACCAGGAGGACTGAGTGTATCTCCTCCTCATTGGCAGAGACGCAAGACCAAAAGAGCAAACTATTTGACACAAGGCACGCGTGGCCGTTGTCTTCCCGTACATTTTATTAGCACGTTTTGACACAGAAGTCGGCAATGAGGAAAGAACCGGCGCCTACATTTCCAGCTACACACAAAATGCCATGCTTTATACTCTGAGGCCACGGTCAGAAGGAGGAAGTGGTCACAGGAGAACTGTGGCTACACATAGAGAAAGGAGCGGCCGTGAAGATGGCTTGGAAACAAGACGAGATGCTGCAGAAAGAGAGAGAGACGGGGAGTCAAAGCCCGAGGAGACATGCTGGGATTTCACAATAGGACACAGAGAAGAAAAGAAGGTCTATCAACTCCAGTAGACGACACCGGCTTCTTCATTCCATCTACTGGCTATCTACGGCTATTAAAAACATTTGCGGTGCACGATGGATGGGCCGGACTCATCGTATTCTTGCTTGCTGATCCACATCTGCTGGAAGGTGGACAGGGAAGCCAAGATGGAGCCTCCAATCCACACCGAATACTTCCGCTCCGGAGGGGCAATGATCTTGATCTTCATGGTGCTGGGGGCCAGGGCGGTGATTTCCTTCTGCATCCGGTCGGCGATGCCGGGATACATGGTACTGCCGCCGGATAAGACGGTGTTGGCGTAGAGGTCCTTGCGGATGTCCACGTCGCACTTCATGATGGAGTTGAAGGTGGTCTCATGGATGCCGCAAGACTCCATGCCCAGGAACGAGGGCTGGAAGACGGCCTCTGGACACCGGAAGCGCTCGTTGCCGATGGTGATGACTTGCCCGTCGGGCAACTCGTAGCTCTTCTCCAAGGAGGAGGATGATGCGGCGGTGGCCATCTCCTGCTCGAAATCCAAGGCCACGTAGCAGAGCTTCTCCTTGATGTCCCTCACGATCTCTCTCTCAGCCGTGGTGGTGAAGCTGTAGCCCCGCTCTGTGAGGATCTTCATGAGGTAGTCGGTCAAGTCTCGGCCGGCCAGGTCCAAGCGCAGGATGGCGTGGGGCAATGCGTAGCCCTCGTAGATGGGCACCGTGTGGGTGACTCCGTCACCAGAGTCCATGACAATCCCGGTGGTGCGTCCCGAAGCGTAGAGGGACAGCACCGCCTGGATGGCCACGTACATGGCGGGCGTGTTGAAGGTCTCAAACATGATCTGTGTCATCTTCTCCCGGTTGGCTTTGGGGTTGAGAGGCGCTTCAGTGAGCAAGACCGGGTGCTCCTCAGGGGCCACCCGCAGCTCATTGTAGAAGGTGTGGTGCCAGATCTTCTCCATGTCGTCCCAGTTGGTGACGATGCCATGCTCGATGGGGTACTTCAGGGTCAGGATGCCTCGCTTGCTCTGGGCCTCGTCTCCCACGTAGCTGTCCTTCTGGCCCATCCCCACCATGACTCCCTGGTGCCTGGGCCGCCCCACGATGGAGGGGAACACCGCACGGGGGGCGTCGTCTCCCGCAAACCCGGCTTTGCACATGCCAGAGCCGTTGTCCACCACCAGAGCGGCAATCTCGTCGTCGGCCATTCTGAGTTAACTAGAAGGAAATAGGAGATAGAGCTGTTTCAGGACATGGTTCACAAAGCTATGGAGACAAGTCATGCTCAGCAACCCAGTGACACGGACTTAATAACATTGGGCCCTTGGTGTTCCAAAATACATGGTTAATCAAGACCTATTATACATACACAATGGTATAATAAAGGTAAAGGTTGTCCCCTGACATTAAGGCCAGTCGTGTCTGACTCTGGGGGTTGGTGCAATGCCATTGATCTCATCATGGTAATGCACAGAAAGTGACCATTTCCCTTGAGTCATGTCCTTAGGTCCAATTCTGGAACAGACAGCATTATCCAAAACAGAAAGCTTAACTGGAGAATTGTTGGGAGAAAGGAGGGTGAAGTGGTCAATTGATCTAAGCAGTTCTATCAAAAGAAACTACAGTGACTGTTTGATGAGTATACATCACTAACTCTGTGACACGTCAACAAACCATCTAGAGCTCTACCAACAAACTGTAAACAAGCTCAGACCATGCATAACAACTTCTACACACAAAAACTTCTATATTATTGAGACCATGGAAAATTAAAGTGGGGCCAAACTGCATTAATTCTACAGTGCAGACGCATCCACAATGTAAACTTGGCAAATGTATGTGGGAGGCACAGAGGACATCTCAGTCTCTTTCAGAGAATTTAGCGTGGGCTATGCGGCATGCACATTTCTTTGCATAAGAGGGCAACGATTATGACGACTGTATAATTTTAGAACTAAGGGCGGGGGCCACACTTCCTATCTCCTTCTACTTGGAACCAACATCTATTCACAAATAGATAAGGATTCTTTGACTGGATCTCTGCTGCTCGGGACTGAAGGCGCAAGAGCATGTTTCAACTGACCACCTTGATTAGCATACAATGGGCTGACTGTGCCTGGAGCAAACTTTTGTTGAGAGGTAATTAGATGTCCCTGCTGTTGCACTCTGTTGTGCTGTTGCAATTTTAGAGTTTTTTAATACTGGTAGCCAGATTTTGTTCTGGCTATCAGAACAATTCCCTCTCAACAAAAGTTTGCTCCAGGCACAGTCAGCCCATTGTATGCTAATCAAGGTGGTCAGTTGAAACATTCACACCTAGCTCCAGCAGACAAGAGTCCTTTGTCCCACCCTGGTCATTCCACAGATATATAAAACCTTTTTCCTAGTTCCAACAGACCTCACTACCTCTGAGGATGCTTGCCATAGATGCAGGCGAAACGTCAGGAGAAATGCCTCTAGAACATGGCCATATAGCCCGAAAAAACCTACAACAACCCAAAACAATATATTGTTTGTACATCTAACCCTAAGTAGGGGTGAAAAGGGCGGGATATAAATGCCGTAAATAAAGAAATAAATAAGGGACTCTAACAGCATGAATATTAACTGAAAATTAAAAATGTGTACACTGTTCAAAACATGAGTGAATATTTATAAATAAAATAGTTATTTAATGGCAATGCTTTTGAACTATAGGTTCACATGATGTACATTTAGACCTGTAATTATTATTATTATTATTATTATTAATAATTGCAAGACACTTTCAATCCCCAACTGGGAAAAGCTGGATATCAATACCAATAAGTCAAAAAGCAGGGAATCACACTGCAATTATTTAAAAAATAATAATTACAAATGTTTTCCTTGTAAGACCCAAACTATTAAGGATTATATTATTATTATTATTTATATTATTATTTTCCTTAAAATATCAAGGAACACAATTACAGGAACTCACCTCTGAGTAGAACCCAACTTCCCGCTTGCACCGAGTAGTAAACAGCTCACAATAAACTCTGTTGCAAAGCTACACGCCCTGTTTCATTTCAAATTGCCCGCGACGTGGAATTCTGAGCGCCGATTGGCTATTCTATATCAAGCTGGCGTCGCTGATTGGCTATTCCATATAGAGCTTGATTGTCGTTGATTGGCCAACCCGCACAGTTCGACTGTGACATCACGTGAGCATTGTATTGTATGCTTCTCTCTCCCTCCAGGACTACAATTCCCAGAGTCAAAGGACCTCACCTCTCTCTCTCTCACACACACACACACACAAACACACACACAAAGACTTGGGCTGCTTCCACACTGTACAGTTAGTAAAGTTTGGCACCACTTTAACTACCATGGAGTCCTGGGAGATGTAGTTTTGCAAGGTCTCTGCTAAAGAGTACTACAAACTACAAATCCCAGGATTCCATAGCACTGAGCCACTGCTGTTTTGAAGGTTTTAAAGATCTAGTCCAGAGTTTTAAACTCTGAATGTGTTTCAATGGGTTTGAGCTGAATGTTTTCATGCTGATCATATTAAATTCATCATCATCATCATCACTTTATTTCTTAATTAGTCGCTCTCCACCAAAGTGCTCCAAGCGACTTACAATTTAAAATAGCGTATACACAATATAAAACATTCAACATAAAAACATTCAGCAGTGACTATGGCAAAATTTGATCCGATTACTCAAATGCACAGCCAAACAGCCAAGTCTTGAGCGCCTTTACAAAAGGTCACAACTCCGACATTGCTCTAATATATGGAGGCAATGAGTTCCACAGAATTGGAGCATTGATCGAAAAAGCTCTACGCCTTGTAGCTTCCAAATGTGCCTCCCTAGGACCCGGTATGTAGAGGAGATTTTCCTGGGTGGATCGAGGTGACCACTGATGGGGAAAAGGAATGAGGCGGTCCCTAAGATATAAAGGTCCTTGGCCATTTTGAGCTCTAAATGTCAGGATCAGTATCTTGTAAGAGATCCGATGTTCTATTGGTAGCCAATGCAGTTGTTGCAGAATTGGTGTAATATGGGATCTTATAGATGATCCCGCTAGGAGCCTGGCTGCTGCATTTTGGACCACCCGAATCTTCTGGGTCGTTGACTTCAGAAGACCAGCATATAAGGCATTGCAATAGTCCAACCTCGTGGTGACTGTTGCGTGGATTACTGTTGCCAATGCTTCTACCGAAAGGTAGGATGCCAATTTCCTTGCCTGGAGAAGATGAAAAAAGGCCTGCTTACTTATGGCAGTGATCTGGGCCTCCATCGTCAGCGATGAATCCAACACAACCCCAAGGCTTTTAACAGTGGCAGATGGAACCAGAGCTTCCCCATCGAAATCAGGCAGAGACTGGGTTAATTCTGGTGGCTGGCCTAGGCCAGAGTATCTCAGTTTTTGCAGGATTGACTTTTAGTCTGCTTGCTCGTAGCCAACTCATCACTGCTTCCAAACACAGCTTAAAGTTCTCAGGAATCGTGGTTGTTCCAGGTTCAAGACGCAAGAGTAGCTGGGTATCATCTGCATACTGGTAGCACTCTATGCCAAAGCTCCGCACCAGTCCAGCAAGTGGTCGGACGATAGATGTTAAATAACAGGGGTGAGAGGATAGCACCCTGGGGAACTCCACAGCAAAGGCAGGAGCTCTCAGAGCTTATTCTCTTTTAATGTTTGCATATGTGTATATTTTGAATTGTATGCTAATGCTTTTATACCCATCCTCACTAGTATAAATTAATATAATAATTTTAATTACTAGCCGTCCCCTGCCAGGCGTTGCTGTGGCCCAGTCTGGTGATCTGGAAAATAAAGTAATGAGAAAGTGTTGGTTTCTAATATATGTAATGTCTTGATGCTTGTGGGGAAACAGCATTTCTCGTCTGTGTTGATGTGGAGATTGTCTGGTTTGCCTATTCTGGAACATGGAACATATAATTGTCCTTCTTTAGTGGTCCCTTTCAAACCTAGGATACTATATCTGTCATATACATATATGTGTGCATGTGTGTATGAATCGTATCTATCTATCTATATCTATGGCTGGATGGCTCTTTGTCTGGAGGGATTTGATGACGTTTTCTTGCTCTGGTGAAAGGAGTTGGACTGGATGGTCTTAAGTATTTTCTGTTGGTCAGGGGGGTTCTGTGTGGGAAGTCTGCCCCAATTCTGTCGTTCGTGGGGTTCAGAATGCTCTTTGATTGAAGGTGAACTATAAATCCCAGTAACTACAACCCCTAAATGTCAAGGTCTATTTTCCCCAAACTCTATCTCTGTTCATATTTGGGAATGTAGAATATTTGTGCCAAGTTTGGTCCAGATCCATCATTGTTTGAGTCCACAGTGCTCTCTGGATGTAGGTGAATTACAACTCCCAAACTCAAGGTCAATGCTCACCAAAACCTTCCAGTATTCTCTGATTGTCACTGTAGTTCTATGTGCCACGTTTGGTTCAATGCCATAATTGGTGGAGTTCAGAATGCTCTTTGATTGTAGGTGAACTATAAATCCCAGCAACTACAACTCCCAAATGACAAAATCAATTTTTTGAGTGAAGGACATACATTGGGTTGTTAGGTGTCTTGTGTCCAAATTTGGTGTCAATTCATCCAGTGGTTTTTGAGTTCTATTAATCCCACAAACAAACATTACATTTTTATTTATATAGTTAGATAATGAATTAATAATAATCATAGCCCAAGAACAAGTAATTAGAACCAATGCCATCCAAGCCGGAATTGAAAAGTCGGTGACAGATCCCAAGTGTAGACTCTGCAAGGAAGCAGGTGAAACAATAGATCACATCCTCAGCTGCCGCAAGAAGATTGCGCAGACAATCGAGGATTCCACTTTGTAGCCCCATTTCTGAAGGTTGGCTCTGCATCTTGTGGTGCCAGAGCGCAGTCTGTTCAGCGTCTTCCAAGTCACCCAGTCCTCTGTGTGCCCAGGGGAGTCTCTCATTTGGTATCAGCCATTGGTTGAGGTTCTGGGTTTGAGCCTGCCACTTTTGGACTCTCGCTTGCTGAGGTGTTCCAGCGAGTATCTCTGTAGATCTTAGAAAACTATGTCTGGATTTAAGTCGTTGACGTGCTGGCTGATACCCAAACAGGGGATGAGCTGGAGATGTCTCTGCCTTGGTCCTTTCACTATTGGCTGCCTACTTCCCGGCGGATGTCAGGTGGTGCAATACCGGCTAGACAGTGTAATTTTTCCAGTGGTGTAGGGCGCAGGCACCCTGTGATAATGTGGCATGTCTCATTAAGAGCCACATCCACTGCTTTAGTGTGGTGAGATGTGTTCCACACTGGGCTTGCATACTCAGCAGCAGAGTAGCACAGCGCAAGGGCAGATGTCTTCACTGTATCTGGTTGTGATCCCCAGGTTGTGCCAGTCAGCTTTCGTATGATATTGTTTATAGCACCCACTTTTTGCTTGATGTTCAGGCAGTGCTTCTTGTAGGTCAGAGACACGGTCCAGAGTGACTCCCAGGTATTTGGGTGCGCTGCAATGCTCCAGTGGGATTCCTTCCCAGGTGATCTTCAGAGCTCGGGATGCTTTTCTGTTCTTGAGATGAAAGGCACATGTCTGTGTTTTAGATGGGTTGGGGATCAGCTGGTTTTCCCTGTAATAGGCAGTAAGAGCACCTAGAGCTTCGGAGAGCTTCTGTTCTACCATCTCAAAGCTCCCTGCTTGAGCAGTAATGGCACGATCATCAGCATAGATGAAACTCTCTGTCCCTTCTGGCAGTGGCTGGTCATTTGTGTAGATTTTGAACACGGACGGAGCAAGCACGCTCCCCTGAGGTAGGCCGTGAGAGAAGCCTCCTCGCAGGATTGCAAGACATCCGGGCGTCGCCTGGGCAACGTCTTCGTAGACGGCTGATTCTCTCAATCCAGAAGCAACCAGCATGCAAGCAAGTAATTTAAATAAGATTAAGAGAAATTAAAATAAGAAACAAAGTCCAAAGTAAAATTGGTAAATCATTTTATTTGAGGGAAATCGGGTGAAGGGAAGGAAATGAAGTAAGCGATGATGCATAGACTTGCCAGCAAAGGTCTACAAAATCAGTCCTAATTAATTCCTGCTTCTTAATTATTCTAGCCTGGAAAAACCTACAACAACCCATTCTAAATTGACATTTAAGACAACTACCACGTCAGACCAGATAGATTCCTGTAAGTATTCAACAACTCAAGTTTTTTTCCCCAATGCTTAGACCAAAGGTTTTTCCCAAATAAGGGAAACATCTAAACATGAAAACTGGATTATTATATACGATATAAAATACAGCATTAAAATCCTATATAAATCATTAAAATGCAACATTCCAGGCCAGACAGACTCCTGTAGTAAACACAAGGCTAGTTGATGCATCAAACCGTTTTGATAGCTTTGGGTGCATCTGTACCAGGCTTGGGCAAATTTTGGCCCTCCAGGTGTTTTGGATTTCAACTCACACAATTCCTAACAGCCTACCGACTGGGAGTTGAAGTCCAAAACACCTAGAGGGAGGGCAGAAGTTTGCCCATGCCTGATCTGTACTGTAGAATTAATGGTTTCAACTACCATGGTTCGATATATGGAATCCTGGGAGTTGTAGTTTGGTGAGACACAGCGACAACTCGTATAACTCCCATAGCAATTTCTTTTTGGCATGTCAGGAGTGACTTGAGAAACTGCAAGTTGCTTCTGGTGTGAGAGAATTGGCTGTCTGCAAGGACGTTGCCCAAGGGACACCCGGATGTTTTGATGTTTTACCATCCTTGTGGGAGGCTTCTCTCATGTCCCCGCATGAGGAGCTGGAGCTGAGAGAGGGAGCTCATCTGCGCTCTCCCCGGATTCGAACTTGTGACCTGTGGGTTTTCAGTCCTGCCGGCACAGGGTTTAACCCCCTGCGCCACTGGGGCTCCCTCCCATAGCAATGAGCCAAGGCTGTTCAAGTGTTATCAGTATCTATATTAATTCACCCTGAGTCAGGAAGGATGCTGAATTTGAGATGCACTAGATGGCAGTGTTGGGCTAAGCTAAAAACTAAGCTAAAAGATAATTATTTAGATCAGTGATGGGC